TCTACAATTCATTCAAAATATCCCCAGTAACCAGAAGTAGAACTTTTCCTCACATGGTATTTACTCAAGTTAAAATATGTATGCATTACTTGGCAAACTCTAAATAGAGAAACTTGTAGGAACATTTCACTATAAAACATATGCTCTGGTCCTGCCAACACACACACACACACACACAGTGAGAGAGAGAAAGAGAGAGAGAGAGAGAGAGAGAGAGAGAGAGAGAGAGAGAGAGAGAGAAAGAGTCAGAGATTGACAGACAGAGACAGAGAGACAGACAGAGAAAGAGAGAGACACAGAGACAGAGAGAGATAGAGACTGAAAGACAGAGACAGAGAGACAGAGAAAGAGAGAGACACAGAGACAGATAGAGATAGAGACTGGCAGACAGAGACAGAGAGACAGACAGAGACAGAGAGAGACACACTGAGTGGTGCCTTGTGCAGTAAATCCCCAATCATTATATACAACTAAAAGCATTGCTTACAGAAGCACTTCTACCTACTTCTATGGCAATGACCCTAGAAGGCACAATCCCTATGATATCTAATAGGAAGAGGCAGGCAATGATGTTTCTGTATCTGGTTGTACTGCCTTTTCCTATTTACCTAGATATTTACATCTTTCAAGTAAGCCTTTGAAGCTCAATATGTGCTAATACTAGATGTTGGTTTAATTATATTTGAACCATGAGGTCTCCTGGAACTCCACAGCCCAGGTTGACCTGTCTCTGCCTCTTAGGACAGAGCATAAGAGAAATTTAAAAAATGTGCTAAGTGTGTCAGAGAAGAGAGGGTAGTTAAATAAATGAAGGTATAATTGCCATTGAGAATCCCATGTAGCTATTGACAACTATGTTTGGAAGAATGTGCACAAATGTAGGAAATATTTATCACATATTAAGTTAAATTAGCCCTCCATCAATCAATATCATAGCATTTAAGTCTGATAAATATTCCAATGAGCTTTTACTTTTTAGTGCTTGGCTTAGACTATAAGGTAATCATGCAAAGCCATGATCATCTCTGGGAAATGGTATCATGGGTGTTTTAATGTATGGATATTATATATCTGTGGGCTTAAGCATCTCTACAACAGCCAGGCGATGGTGGCACACACCTTTAATCCCAGAACTTGGGAGGGAGAGACAGGCGAATCTCTGTGAGTTCTAGGCCATCCTGGTCTAAAAAGTGAGTTCCAGGATACCTAGGGCTACAGAAACTCACCCCCCAAAAAATGAAAACTAAAAAATCCCTACAACAAGCTTGATCTCCTGAGAGGCAATCTGCACTATCTGGATGGTCATTTGGAAAATATTCTTGGAACACATGAAGCCAAGATGCCACCATGTTGAATTAACATGACATTGAAATTTCTAACAGTTACCCATATTTACTAGTAAGATAAGAAATAGAACATATAAATTAGAGAGCACTTAAGGGGAGCCAATGTGGAAATGACATTACAAACATAGTTCTATTACTCCTCACCTCAGCTCCAGGAGGCAGAAATCCTTTGCATCCTCACTTTGGAGAAGACAACACACTGGGGTTAGAGGGACACACCTTGCCAAAGTTGTTCTATTGGTATGCCAAAGTTGTTCTATTGGTAACAGGTACAGCTGTGATTCTGTCCAGATGTAAAGCTCAGCCCAATATTCTAGCAACTATATCAAAATGATTGCTCTTTATTTATTTTTCCATATAGAGCTTGAGGTTCCCCAAACAAATATAATGATAGCAACATGTACTTGTTGATACATGCCCATAGACTTAACAATAAAAATGAAATGTTATTTAAATATGGATATTCATCACCAGACTAAAGAACTTTCTTATTGGGTTTTGCTTGGAATATAGAGGTGGTGGTCCTTTTGTTTGAAACAACCACACTGACTATAAGAAATTTCCAAAAGGAAATAAACTTGTCCTGAGATGAAAATATCATCATATGGTTTATCATCTAACACAAAGTTGAGCCAAATGCCATTTCCCAATCTTTCAGTATATCCAACACGCTGCACTGTGTGTTTTTCATCCAAAATCTGAAGGCAATTCCATTCTAGATCATTAGTGATGACAATTAACTAGAATCGGGCTGGAGATTTATAGGTAACAACCTCATTGCTTTCTTTGGCCAAGAACATAAGAGACCATTGGAGCTTTTTGGTGTACAATACCTCCTGCCTCCTTGGCAAGAGCTTCCTCTTGGAAGAGGCCAATATGGCTTTAGTAGGCTAGCTGCCTTCCTTCTCCTTGTTAGCAATGCCTCATGGTGTACACTGTGATACAAAACAGTCCCAGTCACATTCCAAGTCTGTCAACCTCAATACCAATGGCATTATTGTGGGATATGTAAACTTTTGGTCAGGGGAGGAGTCCAATGTGTTATGGATGCTTAGTGGTATTCTGTCCCAGAAGCCAGTTGCTATAACACCTCCCTCCTTGATAAACATCTGAAATAAAAATGTTTCCTTATATTACCAAGTGACTTCTGAGAGAAACTGCTCCACTGCAGAACTGATTGCACTATATTCTCAAACTTCGGTTAGTCTCAACCTTCAAGACTAAATTGAATTTCCCATAAAACAGAAGGGCAGATGTGCTGGCCATGTAAGCTTGTCCTTCTGGCTGTAATTGACCAGGCAAAAGTAGACCTCTTGACCCAAGCTGGACCACTCACACACATACTCTGTTGTCTCAGGAATCATATTTACATCATGGGATCTTGGTTAAATATGCTTTACTGAAGCTTTGCTCTCATACTAAGTGGGAACAGAGTGGCACCTTTTACCCATTTGTAATTCATGTGAAAGTGTGAGGCAGATGCTTGAAGAGGGAATCAGGCTCTACAAAGGAGAATGAAGTAAGCAAAGATCAGAAATCAAAGGGAGAACATGACAGCAGCTGCCTAAAGGATTCCCCACAGTTGATTCATGTAGAATCCTTTGACTTTCTAAAATAACTTAGGTTTTCCTTGCCACAGCTTAAGTGTGCTTCTCTCTCAACCAACTATTGATCCATAAGGAAAAATAGAAAACACAATCTTATCTGGGAAGTGGCCTCACCCTGCATATCTAGAAGAAGAGTGGACTTAAGCCAGGAAATAGAAGTTCTCAGTCATGCTCTATGACCCTGCACATATGGGTCATTTCCCTGAATCCCAACTCCCTTGGTGAATAATTAGGAAATCAAATCATACCTACACCTTTAAATTGTGATAACTGCAGAGAACCACAGGCTTACTTCTTGGCCAAAATATATAAGATTATTCCAGAGGTGGCAACAAGATTTAGTATTAAAGTCTGTGATACTGGCCTTAAGAGTCACAGAAGAGGTGACTTTTGAAGCATGTATCAAGCAGATTACCCTACTGTTCTTAGTATAGGGAAGGAAACAGAGCCTCCTCTGGTATCCAGCTTCCGACATTACCTCTGACGATCTGCGTCTGTTTGTCTTCATGTTCTGGCAACCCACCTTTATACTGAAGAGGTAGACTGATGTGACTGACAGAACAGCAACAAAACAGTGACACATAAGTTCTAAGGTTTAACATAAAGGACATTGGATCTTATGTTTGGTTTTCTTATAAGTACTCTGGAGAAAACCTACTACCATGTTCTAAAGCTCCAATGGAGAGGTCCACATGGCAGAGAACAGTAGCACTTGCCAATAGCTATGTGAGCAAGCCATCTTAAAACCTTCTGTCGGCACCAGTCAACATTTCAGAACTCAATTTCAGCTACATGAGAGCTTCTGAGCCAGAACCTCCCAGCAAAGTATAATTCTTGATCTACAGGCATAGTAGTATAATAGTTGAAATTTAATTTAATTTATTTATTTGAGACAGGGTTTTATGTCACCCAGGTTAGTCTTGAGTTTTCTGTGTAGCCAAGGATGACTTTGATCCCCTGTTTCCACCTTATGAGCATTGGGATTACAGATATGCATAGCTACACCAGGCTTATGCTGTGCTTGGGATTGAACCCAAGGCTTTGTGCATGCTAGGCAAGCATTCTACCACATGAACTACAATCCTAGTCCAATGCATGGTATTTTCAGCTGTTAAATTTGGGTGTGACTTATAGCACAGAGCTAGAAAACTTATACAATTGGTAGTAAGACTTTTGGTAGGATTAGATAAAATAACATATGAGCAATATGTACCAAATTTTGGCACATACTCCAGGCAATGGTGTTCATTCACATATATATCAAGCAACTAGAGTGATACTTGGCAGATTAATTAGTCCTCACTAAATATCTTTTAAATGAACATTAGGTACTGCCAACTTTCAAACTTTCCTATCACTAACATAATCATCATCCCAAACAGAATCATCTTTCAAATAAGTTGAATCCATACATTTATTGCCCTAAAAATTTCCTCCCTCCCTCCCTCCATCCCTCCCTCCTTTCCTCCCCATCTCTTTCACTGATTGTGTTGTGTGTGTGTGTGTGTGTGTGTGTGTGTGTGTGTGTGTGTGTGTGTGTGTTTGCTGCTATAACAGAACACCTATGACTAGGTAACATACAAACATAAAATAAATTAATTCCCAAAGCTCTAGAGACTTGGAGCCATAAGCATCTGATGCAGGCCTTTCATGATAGAGCACCACATAATGGGTACCAGAAAAGCAGGGGCACAAGGTGGGACTGGAATTCCCCTTTCAAATGGCACTAACCTCACTCATGATTGTGCAGCCCTCGTGGCTCAGTCACCTCTCAGATGCCTCATCTTCCTGCATCAAAAAATGGCAGTCTGCTTTCAAGACGAGTTTTGGAGTAAACATTCAAACCTAACATGGGAGGAACCAAAGTTCCACATATATGCTGAGTTCTGGCATTTAACTTCACAGCAGTTTAGATACGCCTTGTCTATGGTTCAGAGACACAGCTAGTTTACACACGAAAACACATTGTATGTATGAAAACACATGAGTTCACTCAGTGAACTCATGAGTGAACATCCATTAGAGAGTGCTAAAACCCATTACTTACCATCCACACAGGAAGGTCGGTTTCTTGTTGTTCCAGCGACTTTCCCAGGTAGGCAGGAACACTTCACTGTTTGTGACCGCTCCTCTATACGGTTCTTGTTACAGCACCTGTGGGCTGCGATCACTTCACAGGTCCCTCCTTCTGGCAAGACAATAAAAAGACGGACATTGCTTAGACCTAACCCCGGGGTTGCTTAGGCATGTTAGAATACACAGGCATGTTTGGAGAAAATGACAGGAATTATATAGGGGTCCTGTGACGTACAGTTACTAAAGAGCTCTCATCTATGGTTCATGCAGTCTCGGAGAACACAGGCATTGCTGTGCTACACTCAAAACAGAAGAACACCAGCGAATAAATGGGCATCTCAAGATGTGATGATTCTGGGTTGGATGTAATAGAAATGCAGTGGAGCAGCAAATGCCTGGAGCTAAAACGCCAAGTAAAGTGTCCACCTGATTTAGATGCACTGTTACCTGTGCTAACTGCATTTAAGATTCTCTGAACACCCGCTAATGATGAGCAGCAAAAATCCAGTGATGCAGAACTTGAAGTGCCAAGAAAGCATCCAGGAACCAGTTCCCCTTCCTACTGCCTACTCATGTTAAGGGGGCTGAACTGAATGAAAATCTAGTCCAGAATCATTGGCAAACCCAGACAGCACACACAAGTGAAAGGGGGAATTTTTAGAAGAAATGCTATGTGCTTTCCATGGCATGGCTAGGCATAGGACTTAATTTAAATTATTAGGGCTCACTTATGCATGCATCAATGAATATGGGCATCCTAATGGGATTCCACTCTGTACTAGCTCCTGGGTATGTGAGTTCCCAGGTCAGAGGAAATGTTGGTGAATATTCAAGTCACTCCTTTTGCTTTGGATTCTGCTGCTGTTGTTAAGCTGCCCATAAACTAGTCATCTTTCTCCATTAGCCTCCCAAATGCTGAGAATATAGGTATGCACTGCCACAGCTGGCTTGGGTCAATTTCTTCCGTCACGGAAGCAATAAGCTTTTCAAAGTTTTAAAATATATCAGAACTTAACTTTCCCACCCTCAAGTTTTGAGTTCAGAGACAATCGGTTTTCATTTTACCAAAATGGGCTCCTAGCATTTAGAATTATTGACCTTTGGCATTCAATCAGCAGAGTTGGCCAAATTTTGTTGAACAAGTGGTCTACATGTTGCTTATAAACTCTAAAGGGAGAAGGGGAGTGTATACTATCTAGACATATAGAAGATACATATTGGCACACATGAAAGTGGGAAGGGGAAACAGAAATAAAGGATATTTAAGAACACATTGTTCTTTGAGAACTTAGTTGCAATCGTGTTTTAGATATTGTGGAAGTAAGGCATGATCTGGTTCCCTCCTATCAATAATTAAAAGTTGAGAGATAGCTTGTTGCCTGTGATTATTATGAGGAGCAAGATGCTACTTGCATACTAGAGAAGAGGGATGCCATTAAACATCCCACAGTGTACCTTGACAGTGTGTTGCTAAAAGGGGGGACCTGGCTCCAAAATACTAATATCAACAGTGCTAAAAAACCTTTGTCTGCTGTTGAAGAAATACACCAAAGTAACCCAATATTAGGAAGGCAGTCCTGTCTCCAGCAAAAGAAGGGAAGAGTCCAAAGTTTAACCCATCTTATTTTCATTTGAATTTCATTCCTTCCACTTAGTATTTGATAACCTCAGTTTCCTCATCTGTAAAGTGAGAATAATAATCATAGCACCTATAGCAGAAGATGTGCAGATATCAACTAGAAAGCATATCTACCTAAGATGGGTCATCAATTAGCCTGATACGTAGTCCAGAGTCCTACAATAATACTTGCAACAATATTTGCAGAGGGTATTTCCTCTCCTTTTGTTTCCTGTTTGGTTTTGACAGTGGTAAAGATCAAAAACAGGTCCTTGTACATGCTAAACAAACAGAGTTACATCTCAAATCCAACTACCATCTTTCCTGTCTCAGCATTTATGGTATTTCCTGAAATATTTTCTCTTAGCTCCTAACCACCTCCATCACTCCAGCACATTCCTGTCTATTAGTGCCTAGCCATCCAACCCCACCTCCCCCCAACATGCACACACACACATGACTATGGAGAGAAAGAGAAAGGGGGAGATAGAGAAGGGTACACACATGTGTATATCTATGTGTGTGTGTGAGAATTTTCATAAGAGCTTGATGCCAAGATCAATTCTTCAAAGAATGTCTTATCACCTCCACAACTATGCATTCTCTTAGTATTCCATGCATTTCCAATTACCTAGTAGTCAATGTTTGTGGCTCCTCCCAGTCAAGCTGTAAACTGAGGCAGGATCAAGACTATTATTTTTCTTCTCAGTCCTATCAACATGGAGGAAGTCTAGAAGTTTTTTCTAAATGTCTGAGTAAAATAAATGCATTAACTGACATTAATAGCAATAGGGTATGCCCCAGGTTCTGTAAACATAGGTGGACTGGGGGAACCATTTATGTATGGAGACTACAGAAAATTTCCAAGATTCTGAGTTGAAAGGTGAGTCTCCAACAGGCAGTTATGAAGAGCAGGACTCACAATAACATGATAATCTGAGGCATTTTTAAGAAGTCATTTTATTATTATAGAGTAATTTTAGATTTCCAGAAAATTTATGAAGGTGGTACTGAGAATCCTCAATTGTATCCCACTCTACTATATCCTCCTTGTATTATCTAATTATTGACATCTTCAGTGTGGTGCATTTGAAGTTTTCTTATCCCTGGTATTATGTTTCAGTTCTATGGAACCTGCTTGCTTAACATGTTCTGGTTTTGATGACTGGGAGCCCTTTCATTGGCTTTGCATCACTTTGACATGTGGTGTTCACTGTATGTTTATCTGACTTTCACTTTGAGCACTCCCTTACTTGCTGACTCTTCAATTGCTCCAGGACTGCACTCTCTAACATATTTGCATTAACTAAAGTCTAAACTCTCTTAGATGTTCTTAATTTTAACCTTTTCTATTCCAGGGTTCAACCAGGCAGATGACCTTGTGTTCACTTCCATCATCTCTCTAGGTGTCTCATGGCTGTGACATTTTTTTCAAACATTCATTGCTTTTTAATAACCTTGGCATTTTGGAGTAGACTGGTCAGGCATTTTGCAGACTGTCTCTCAATTGGGCTTTGTCTAATGCCTTTCTTATGATTAGAGTGAGGTTATGTGTTTTGTAGGAAGCTTGGAAAGGTAAATGCCACTCTGGTCCCATCCTATCATTGGTATACACTATCAATCTGGCTTTGTCTTATTGAGGCTGGATCTGGCCACCACGTCAGATTATTATCATGTTTTGTCATTATTGTCATGTTTTCCCTTCCTTTCCCCTTTGTAGTATACACCTTGGAAGGAAGTTTCTGTGAACAGTCTACATTTAGGAACTGATTTAGGGGGTTATATTCTGTATCCTGAAATTATGACAATGCTTAATAGTATTTAGAATTCTTCTGCATGATCTCTTTCTTCCCATTTTCACTTATTTATATATAGGTATACTCATGAATTTTATTTATGCCTAATATTATTATGTATTGTGAGGTCACTTAATTGCTTCAAACATTCCTGCTTTGACTACTGTGAGGTGTCTTTTGGCTTTTATGTCCCTTTGCCACAGTGACCATTGCAAGCTTGCATTGTTTTAGTCTTTATTCTGAACAATTCATTTCTTGGCTCTTTAAGATGCTAAAAGATCATATTATAGATGCCCTGGCCTCATGTTATAATCAGCCATTTCTCCAAAGCAATTATTGTGGCTTTTCAAAATCATACTACAATCAATGAACTAAGACTTCCAGGTCAGGTGAGACAAGATTGAATTGGAGGGGTTTTCCTCCTTCCTCCCTCAGGAGAATCCTCTTGTGCAGTGTGACCAAATAGCAATTAGAAAAGACAATTTCCAGTCCCTACGTGGGTGTTGCTTCAGAGCCATCTCCTTGATGGATGTGTCCATGAGGGACTGGAGAAGAGAAAGGTGATCAAGCAAGAGGGACAAACAGCACTACTGCGCATTACTGAGCAGGAAACAGAAGACTTGAACTTGGGTCAATGGAAAGTATCTCCCTATTTCCACACTCACAGGCCTAGGATTAGAGTTAATGGAACAGGGTCAATGGTACATTACACTCTCATCCAGTCGCCCATGATCATGTTGCTTTAGCTAGCAGTTGTTACCTACAATTACCTTCAATCAAATCAGTAAGAGCTAGGTTTACACTTTAAGAAAATACTGCTAATTTAAGTGACTACTTGGCTTTAATACCAGACAGCAGCAGCATTTGTGATGAAAAGTAGCCCAAGGCATATGGATGGTGCCAGGAGGCACTGTGAATCTCACTTTATTTACACTCAAGTCAGAAGCTATGATAGACATACAAGAACATGAGTGTAGCATGCTGTATCCCAGAAATTTTACATGATGTCACCCCCCAGCATATGAAAAACCAAGTCCCAGAGACAAATGATAACCTGATTAGATGCACACAAGAGTGACTGCAGTCTATTCTATTCCAAAGTTCATGGGTTTGCATATTATACAAAAATAGTGATTTTTTATAGATCAAAAGCATCCATAAAATAAGTGTGTCATGTCTCTCAGGATGGTTATAAAGCTAAGTGCCCAGAATGCCTCTTCCCACTTCTGTCTGTGCCCTATTGGCCACCACTCTCCTTTACTCTTCTGCCTCTTACACAGACACTGGCCATTTACTTGGGGCAATCTAGCTAAGATGCCAGACATGGTCTTTCTGAGGGATTCCCACTTTACATGGGACACTGTACCTGTAGATCTCTTGCTCACTCTTAATCCCTCTTCATCTTTGTTCAAATGCCACTTCATAAGAAACTGATTGGTTGATTACTTCATTAGGATAAATCCTAATTTCCTCCTTAGGTACACATGAGACTCATACCTTTGATTGTGTCTGACCCTCATTCTCTCCTATAGTACCTGCTACCTTCAAATTCTGCGTGCAATTTATTTGTCATCCTTACTGTTTGTCCCTCAATGGAGGGTAAACTCCTTATGGAGAGGGGCCCCTATCATTTCATGTATTAAATCATTTCTGGAGTACTATCAGGCTCAAAGGTACTTTGAACACAAGTCTAATTTA